AATACTGATGTTAGCCTGTTTACATTCCACTGTTTTTCCTTGGTATGGGGTGAACTTTCAAATGTGGTGGTGCTATTTACTTTAATCTACCAAACTTGGCACACTCTTATTATTGACAACTGAAAAAGATGGTATGCTAGTGGGCAGGATGCTGTGAATTATTAACTTTTCTTTGCACTTTGACAAATTTAGGTTATCTGTGTAAAGACAAATAGTTTCTATAAAGGAACCAAGACTGTAGAATGGTAAATAAGGCATTGCAAACTTACATAGAATGATTTTTAGCCAAATGTGAATTTAATATATTTCTGAAACAGGGTTCTGAGTTACATTTCTTTCCTAGAATTATTATTTTCATTTCATAAAGTATAAGAGGAAAGATTTTTGTTTGTGGTGTTTCATATAGATTTTTTTTTTTCTCAGCGTGTTTTTCTACATGAATTGATCAATAAAGCATTACAGAATGTATATTACCACTAAAAATCCCCTCTACCTTTTTTCCTTAGGAATGCGATTTCGTAAAAGCAGTTTATTTTCTTCTTAAATTAAAGAGCCTGCACTCAACTAATTTGTGAGCAGATAAAACGTAGAGCAAACATATGTTTGCCAGGAAGCTTTTTTATAATCAAAACAGTCAGCAGGACAGAAAGCACACTCTTTTTCTCATTAGGTATTAATCTTCTTCCATTTTGGAAAAAAAAAAAAAAAAGCCAAACGGCAAACCACCACATACAACACTGATTTATATATGTAAATGCAAATGAATCAGAGACAGCATATGTTTCATCTGGTAATAGACGCTTACTTGAGTTAATGTTAAGGCTGTGTTGGAAGTCCTAGCTGGGCAACAGAAAGATCTTTGCAATTGGGAAGCACTTAGCATTCTTGGGTGGCAGACAGCAGTGCCATCCATGGCACAGTTTGCCTTGAAACAATTAGTAGGAAGACGAGGAATGTTGATTTCAACTGAGGAGGACAGCCAAACAAAATAGGTTTATGCAAAGTACAGTAAGGCAAGCAGCAGGCTGAACCCAGGTTGGTTGGAAAACACAGCATTGCAAATATTCATGAGGAATTGCACTGGAGATAAAAAGTTACTGGTGACAACAGTAATTATTGACAGAGCCACATACTTACGTCTAAAAAGCTCTGGAATGATGCAGAAGCAGGCAATACCATTCAGATGCTGGTCGTTCAAACTTCCATCCTGTGGCATTACATCTGTTTATTGGGAATTATCTTCTGAATGTAAATGAATTTCAGTCCTAAGTCATTGCACCTGTTGCCAAGAGGTATTTATTCCAATCACTTGCCTAAAGTGCAGGGAGTTATTGCTTGATGGTTTATAGCTCCAAAAAGAGCTGTCGTTTCAAAATCATTTGTTCAGAGAGGAGAAAATGGAGCAAAACAGTTCATTTTACCCTAAGCACTGCTATTTGGCAGTATTCACATTTGCACGGCACAAAGCTGCAATATTGATTTTTCGCTCACAGGGCCTCCCACAAGTTCTTTCGTCGATTGTCAGGGTAGCAAGATGGATTGAATTACACTTTGCTTGTTGATACACTTACTTTTTCTTTGTTGATAGGAAAAAATTACAAATAAAGCTTCAGCATAAAGATCACAGCAGCTTTGTTAGTGGACTTTAAATTTACTTAGTTAAAATTCTTCCTGCACCTGAGAAATTCCTTAGTCTCCCCACCTAATGCTTGCTGCATTGTTTTGCTTTATCGCTTGCTGCTTTTGCAATGTAACACCTACATTATAATCTCAGGTGTGTCCTCTGTTGCTTGTGAAGTGATCTAACCTTGCTCTAGTATTTTTAATGTTTGTCCTAATACAGAACTTCTCATGGATGCCTGCAGGGGGAAAAACTGCAGGATAAAACACATTCGCAGTGCTTAGAGCAGTTGCCATAGATGATGAAATAAGATTTGCAGGCAGCTGACTTCTGTAACAAACTGCAGAGCTCTCATCTTTGAATTCAAGGTATTTCCTAGTAGACGTGGAGACTGTGCTGCAGGATCTACAGTAAGGATTTAGTGCTTGTCACAGGCAGCTCACTGTCAACCCTGCCCCCATAGCGTTCCTGCCCTGCTGCTGCATGTGTAGCCACCGACACCTCAGCAGCTGTACCGTGTGCCACCCCTTCCCCTCCCCTGTCTGCCCTTCTACAGAATACCCTTTGGACAGCCGAAGCTGCTGTTTCTTTCCTCAAAACCCAAAAGTTTGGGGAGGGTGGGGGGGTGGCCAGACTCTCCAGGCAGGCCATGGTGGTGCCATGCCCTGGAGGAAGCCCTGCTGTGTGCTGGAGATACAGGCACCATTGCCAGCAGCTGGTGGAATGAGTTTTATATGGATGGCATTAAATTTGACAGGAGCAGTAGGATGTAGGAATGGCAGTCACTAGCAGCATTATATTTGGTCCCACTGCGGCTGTTGTGATGGTAATTAATCAAAGGAGCTGCTACATGCATATAGGGTGGGGGCTTTGCATGCACCCCTCTCTATGCCCATTTCACGCCCTCACTGAGCCGTGAGCAGCTTCTGTATTCATTGTATTAATTTGCTGCATGGGAGGAACATGTAGGGTGTTAAATGTGCTGGATTCGTGTTTTAGCTCTTTCCAGCTTTCAGCTCATGATACTTTAGCACGTCTCTAATAATAATGTTTGCTATTGCACATGGTATGTGCAGCCGAACCGACAGGAGTGAATTTGAGATGGAACTGTGGTGCTTTCCATGGCAATTGGCCTCTTCCCATATTAACAAATACTGAAACATATCACCAGAGTAATGGTACTGTTGGATGCGATTCCACAAAATGTAAAGGCAGACCTGGTTGCTGCGTTCCGGCCTTCTCCTTGTGCTGGGGTGAATTTCCCACACAGCCAAAGAGCTGGTCCTCTGAGACCTCATCTGCTCTTCTGCAGTAGAAGGAGGTTAGAGTCAGACCAGCTTCTTCCATTAGTTTACTATACAAGTTGGACAAAAGCGGGTGCTGGTGCAAAGGGAAGGCGGGGTGTGCAGATAGAGGATGGGTAGATGGGCTCTGTTTGCCAGGAAGCTACATCCAGACACTGGTGTGATCATTATCAACAGCTCTTTTTTGCAGTCCTAACAGGCAGTTATCTTCATACAGTAGTTTTAATCCACAGATCATTAATTCAGTAGAAAAACTGGCAGCCTCTGGTTGGTGTGAAAATTTACTATCAAGGGGTTATCTCAAGTTGTTCTTGATCTTCTTAGATCCCGCTTCCTTGCCTCTTCTAACCCATCATGCTTTTTAAGAAAGGTTTATTTTCTTTGCCTTCAAAATACTGTAGAGCTCCCTCTTTCAATACTTACTGGTTATTTCTCTTTGCTGTCACAACTTGTCTCCAGCAGCCTGCACTGAAATATTAATGGCCTTGTACTACTGTGTTAGGATGACTTTTTCAAAATAGGCATATCTGTAAATCTGGTGAAAATGTAGAAAGGATTTACTATTTTAAAGAAATAGGTACTTAACAGTACCATGTTACCCACCTTGTCTTCTAGAAGGCAGTAACGCACATTTTGTAAGAAACAGAAATATTCTGTGTAGTACTAATCCACGAGTAGCTGTGTACAAGGAAGTGTGGAATACAGATCTGCAGTTTGTGGTACTGATCATTTATGCATTTGTTCAGAATCTCAGCTGTTGTTTTGTTATTTTTTTGGTAAAAGGCACTGAAACACTGAAGTTCAACTAGGTAAAGGATCAGAATGTATATAAGATCTGGTGGCACAAACATGTCCATAAAATAGCTAAGCAAAAGAAACCAACTCTTCCTGGAGAAAGGAAGATATAGAATCATGGAATAGTTAGGGTTGGAAAGGACCTTAAGATCATCAAGTTCCAACCCCCCTGCCATGGGCAGGGACACCTCACACTAAACCGTATCACCCAAGGCTGTGTCCAGCCTGGCCTTGAACACTGCCAGGCATGGAGCATTCACAACCTCCCTGGGCAACCTATTCCAGTGCCTCACCACCCTCACAGTAAAGAATTTCTTCCTTATATCCAATCTGAATTTCCCGTTTAAGTTTTAACCCATTACCCCTTGTCTTGTCACTACAGTCCCTAATGAAGAGTCCCTCCCCAGCATCCTTATAATAGGCCCCCCTTCAGGTACTGGAAGGCTGTTATGAGGTCTCCACACAGCCTTCTCTTCTCCAGGCTGAACAGCCCCAACTTTCTCAGCCTGTCTTCATACGGGAGGTGCTCCAGTCCCCTGATCATCTTCATGGCCCTCCTCTGGACTTGTTCCAACAGTTCCATGTCTTTTTATGTTGAGGACACCAGAACTGCACACAATACTCCAAGTGAGGTCTCACAAGAGCAGAGTAGAGGGGCAGGATCACCTCCTTCGACCTGCTGGTCACGCTCCTTTTGATGCAGCCCAGGATACAGTTGGCTTTCTGGGCTGCGAGCGCACACTGCTGGCTCATGTTAAGTTTCTCATAAGTTTTTCTTATATAAGAAAGACTAATGAAGTTGGAAATACGGTTTTGTGTGGGGTGTTTTTGTGGGGTTTGTTTGTTTGTTTGTTTGGATTTGTTGTTTTTTTTTTAAGTTACTTCTGCATTTGCAAATCCTGCCTGTTCTGCTGCTCCCCACTTTCAGACACAGCTTGATTGTGCCCAAACAAGGAAGAAGGAAGCAGAGAGAAAAGAGGTGGGAACCGGAGCATGCGATGTAGCCATCCAGACAGGCAGCACTAGCAAGGGTTAGAATAAATGAAGAGAAATTTCTCCTTTCTCAGATTAAGGACACAGCAGCAGTGGTGCAGGGATATGACAGTTTCATGAAAGATGCTTCACTTAACATGGTACCAGGGCAAACTGTTTAAAGGTGCACTTCCTTTAGCATGCTGATGAGAACTGGTGCTTATGTGACAAAAAAAGAATAGTGCAATGAATATATTCTTTAGGCTCAAGTCTAATCCCTTTATTTCTTCCTTTTTTTTTTTTTGCAGGTTTTAGCCGAGCAGCGCTACCGTTTGGTTTGGTTAGGAGGGAGCTCTCCTGTGAAGGCTACTCCATTGACCTCCGGTGTCCAGGAAGTGATGTTATTATGATAGAAAGTGCTAATTATGGACGGACAGATGACAAGATTTGTGATGCTGACCCTTTCCAGATGGAGAACACAGAATGCTTCCTTCCAGATGCCTACAAAATTATGACACAAAGGTAAATATATATATATATATATATATGATTTGAGTACTAAAGAGAAAAATGCCTGAATTAATACAGTGAGGTATATACTGTAAGAAGTACTGAGTCATAGCTGCCAGTTTACTATTGAGGAGTTATTATTTCTATCAGGTAATACTAGATGGTATTAAAAATTACCTGTTGCAATTAGAGAGTTGGGGTTTTTTTTGATTCCATGAGTAAAAGTTAAAATGCGGGAAGATAACTGCAAGGAGAATTTATTTACTTACAACAAGAAACATTTTACTTACTTGGAGATTCCCTGTCTCCTTGTCTTTTAGGTGGTCAAACAGTATTCAAAGTGTGTCCAAACGGCTGCATTTTTCATTAACTTCTACATTCCCTGGCAAAGTTACACATTTCCTACGAATGCAGTAAATTATTGCCATAGTTCCCACCTGTAAAATGCATCCAATGGAAAATGTCAGAATGATTAAATGCCAAGATGGTAGCATACCATTATACATGTGTGTACAGAAGCATATGTGCTTCTAAACTCAAGTTTAGAATCACAGAATAGTTAGCGTTGTGAAGGACCTTAGGATCATCCAGTTCTGACCCCCCTGCCTCAGGGGCGCCTCACATTAGACTATGTCACCCAAGGCTCTGTCCAGCCTGGCCTTGAACACTGCTGGGGATGGAGCATTTACCACTTCTTTGGGCAACCTGTTCCAGTGCCTCACCATCCTCACAGTGAAGTATGTCTTAGTGACAGTGTTTGTCACTCAGAGAACATCATCAGTCAGAAGAGCCAAAGAATCTTAGGGTCACTTAGGTTGGAAAAGACCATTGAGATTGAGTCCAACCATAAACTTAGTACTGCCAAATGCACCGCTAACCCAAGTCATAAAGCTCCAATAAGTGTTTTTCGTACAAAAAGTGCATCAGAACTAAGATTCACAGAAATCCCTGTGCTACAAGGCTGCATATAAGCAGCAGTCATCTGGTGCTGACAGTTGTGTATGTGTCAGCACGAATCAGTCACTGGCATTGTTACTGGCTTAAACTACAAGCCTGAGTAAGTTCAGGATTGGTGGGAAGTCTTCCTCCCAGTGCATTTTTCATAGGGTGAGGAATCTATACGTAAAGGGGATGTGAGTAACCTGGGAGCTTTCTCGTGCATGTGCACAGATGTCTGAAATGAAACATGCAAGTTGTCCTTCATGCTGTGCTCCATGTTCTGTCTTATGTTCGAACATGGTAGCACTCAGATACAGTCAAGTCTTAAAAATAGTCTTCCATTTTGATTTCCTAATTGACTAAAGTTGTCGTGAGTGTGACTCTTATAATTTTTTTATTATTTTCATGGGAATACTTAGATTCTCTCTACTTCTGTAGTGAAACATTTTGGCTAGCTCTCAGGCTTCAATTTCAAACGTTGGAGGTAAATTAAGGATATCAGGCTTTTTATTCTTGTTGAGTGTTCAACCTGTGACTTGTTCTATGATCAGTAAAGGAAAGGCTCCATCACTATGCCAGTAAAAAGGTAATATAACTTCTTTAAATCATTTTTGAATTATCTTTTTGTGGTTCTAGTTCGTTGCTGTTAATTAGATCAAGCCAGATTTCTGTTGAGAGTACAGCAGCAGTGTCATCATGCTGTCAACTCCCTTTGAAACCACCTTCAATTGCTTTTGTAAATGTAGTGCCTCTCTGTAGACTTCCTTGTTGTGTAAAATGCATGTTGTGTTTTGATCAAAGTCCTCCTTATGTTCACGGCAAATATACAGATTAAGGTAGTCAGAGACAAGTATAGAGGCACAATCTTGTTTAAAGTGACATCAAACTCTTACTGGAAAGCTGAAATTTCAATCCTTCCATTCCAGTTAATCAACTATAAGTTAATGATAGCAGAAAGTATTTTTGAAGTTCCCCAATCTTCCACTCTTTTTTTCAACAGATTAAGATGAAGTTGTGATCAGATCTCTGACATTGGTTCAGAATACCTGTGCTCAGAGAGAGTTTCTGGGTTTTGTTCCTTTTTTTCTTCGCGGCCTGAATGAACAGCAAAGATCATTTGACACTTTGCTTTCTATTTTTTCTGGCATTTATAGTAATTCAGAAGTTTGCTTTCACAGTTTTCTCTCTTAGTCCTGTCATTAAGTAGAAAAGCTGTCACTTGCCTTGTTAAACATCTTTTCTCAGAATTGCTCGATTTGTGCTATATTGCAAAGAAGTACATCGCAAATTTCATATGAAAGATTTAAAGTTCTTGCATCTCATTTATTTATAACTGCATTGGTGATCATAATTTTTTGTTGTCTAAGGCAAACTGTTATTTGGTACTCAGCACATGTCCTTAATCTGATATCTAAAAGTGCTGCATCAGCTGTATTTTGATGGCAGCAATTGCATAGAAAAATCTCACCTGAAGGACTATCAGATTCACTGGGGATTTTTTTTAACTGACTAGAAAAAAAAAATCCGTTAAAACATTTGATCACAAGGAAAACTGTTCTTCCATACCTTTAAAAATAAGCAGCAATTGTTTCTAGATTGCTAATTAAAATCCTACAGTGTTTACTTCTAAGGACTAATGACACGTTTTTATCACTTCAGCCAGCAGTGTTTCTACCACTGAGTTTGACCACTCAATTCAGTTTAGACCTGCAGTTAAATGTAGTTCCACGGCAATTATTAAATACTCATTGTTCATTTGCAACATTACTCCACAGCTTTTGCACAGCAACTACATTTACTGCAGTTACAGCGTGAAAACACTAGCTTAATGAGATCAATACTGTGAAATCTGAAGACTGAAAAATAAGATGAGGTTTCCAGTTGAACACAAAGCCATGTAATCACATGCCCTGCTCCCCTTCCAGAGAATTTGAGATACTAGCACACAAACTTTGCCAGTGTCTACTGGTGCATCAGCTCCTCTTTCTCAGAAGAAACTGCTACTTGATCTTTTCTCCCTCCCTTTTCTTTCTTTTCTGCAGTTCTAGAAAGATTTTTAACTTAATGCTTTCCTAGGAAGCCTGAATAGAACACTAATGACTTCATTGCTTTGCTTTTACCTTTGTAAAGTAGTTATTAAATTTTTAGTCCCTGATTGAAATTAGATCCCAATTATTCCAGAATAAAGTCTTTCAGATGTATTTAGATTCCGTGTAAACTTCAGACTGACATGGTTAAAATTAAAGCTTTGAAGAAAGAGACTAGACCTTTAGAAAATCCCTCTCCCCTTTCACACTTCTCTGATAATTAACCCCGGCGTTTGCATACAGTCAAGTTGGAGAGATCCTACCATGCGCTGAAGTTGAGTTTAGAAATAAGCTTATTAGTGGAATATTTGGTGAGGGAGTAGTGTGAGTGGCAGAGGAACTGTGTTTCAGGCAATTTAGTTCTTAAAAATAGTCAGGCTCCTTGGTGCTCTGCTGTCCTTTAGCAGGGACAAATCTCCTCCCTTTCCTCTTTGTTTTGAAAGAAATTAAATGAACAGGAAGCAGAAGATGCAAAGCAGCCTGGGAAAATTACTGTAGTCGCTTGCTCATAAAGTGTGATAGTGTGGCTGTAGTCAGAAAACTGTCACAAGACTTTGAAGTTGATAAGGCTAAATAGTACAGCTCTTTATAGGCACAGCAGAGGTCTGAAAATTAACATGATAAAATTTACTTATGACCTAGTCTTAAGTCCACTTCATTGTAAGTGGATTGCAGGTGGGTTGTGTGAGTCATATGCAAACCGCCTGTGTATTTATGAGGGCTTTCTGCTGCCAGTGTCAACTTCAAAGCCACCGCTTGCAGGTGGATGGACCATACGGTTTTCTCAGGACAGGCACTAAGTATTAAAGAAATACCACATAGTGTTCGGATTTCTCTTTTTATTAGCTTAAAATAATAACGTATATTTAAAAGTACCTGTAAATACTTAAAATACATTTCAGTTTCAAAGGCAGAGGCGTGTTATATATGTAATTTATAGTGGAAAAATAAGTTACAGAAATGCATTTTTTGCATGCTGGGACATTTCACTTCTGAATTAAAACCAGGCTTTTTTCAATAGGAATCATATTTCCTCATCCTAAACCTTTTGTTTAAAAAAAATTTCCAGTTATTTTAAAGGTTAGACAATATAACTATCTTTGTGAATCCAGTACAGTGCAATTAGATGATAATTTTGCCTGTATATTTAAATAAATACTTTTGTAGTGTGGCAGATGATAATTTTCCATAATATAATTCTAAATTTTGAGAAATCCAGTATTAAAAAAATGTCAGGTCCGTCCCATTCTGTATACCTTATTTTTTGAGTGATTTACAGTTACAGATTTTGGGGGGGCGGGGAGGGGGACCTAGTGAAAAATGAACATTCTGTATTTAAAGAAAATAACAGCTTATTGATGCCAAATCTATGAAATCATTTACTTAGATGCAAAATTCAGGCATTTACTGTTGACAGACAAATTCACGTTAAATTCAGACGGAAAGCATTGTTTCCCTCCTAATAAAGGCTAATATACCTTGAATTTTTAAATAGGAACTTCTGATCTGTGTTCTGATACTGAGAGCATAATCGTTGTCATCGTTAAAAGAGGAAAAATTCAAAATAGTCTAAACTACAGGTCTTGCAGCACATGCAAGCATCCACAGAAGAAACTACAGTCTCGCAGTTTCAGTTTATTTTTGATCTGCAACAGAAAGGAGGTTACGTGAATCCTGCAGCGGAATGGCCTTAAAATTCTATTTTCATCTACAATTTATACTATAATTGTATCTTCATGGGATCTTTACTAAACATATTTAATGAGTATCATTTTGCTTTTTATATATGCACCAACAAAGCAAACCTCAGTATAAATGTAAGCATAAATATAAAAATGTTAGGTATAATAGATGAACTTAGGGAACTGCAATTTTTTTTAAATACCCTTCCTTTTACAACATTGCTGCAGAAAAGTAAAGTGGTTAAAAGAGGAATAAATCCTCTTTAGCAGTGAGTGTTTTTTTCTGTTGCATGCATCCTGTCCT